CCAGGGGACTTCTCACTATAGCTCCTATGGTGCGACAGATCGTCCTTCTTTGAGTGCTGCTTTCGTGTCGACTTGGAGGCTCACCCCGTCATTCAGTCTCTCCATGTGCTGTCGATCCTTAGCGCCGTTCAACGGGGGAACTCTTCTCTGTGGCAATTGGCACCATTTTTGTGTGGGTGCCAATGTCGCCCAAACATTCACGTGGAATATGGTTGTATTCCAAGTCCCAAGGTGAGCGTTTAACACCTCAGTGAGCTTTCATTCCTGGAACTCATTAGACCTCTCTGGCTTCATATTGTGTCAGGTCAGATCGGTTGATCATCTCACCCACCAGGTCCGACTCTCCGGTGAGAGCTCTTTCTCTTTCCCTGTTATCTCTATCCGAAAGGGCAGGAGAGGGGAAGGGGACGGGGGATAACATCTGGTGAGTGTCTGTGCATCTTCTCTCTGGAGAAGACTGAGGATATTGGCTAACGTCCTTGTCTCCGACCTCTACTGTCCTCGAGCCCAATGCTTCCCCAGCGTAAGAACTCACTCTTGCATGGGCGATACTGCGGTCTCACCCTCATTATTTCCTTCACGCAGATATAATGATGGTCATACCTTCTCTCAGAGGCCGTGTCGTCGTCTTGGCCTATTTGTAAACAACACGTCAGTGTAGATCTGTTTCTCGTACTGGGTATGTAGATTTTATGTTTCTGTGTACAGAATGCAGTACGCATAGGCATTAAATACACAGCCTCTGCTCTTTGTCATCGTCACCCGAGAATGGGCGTTTGACCTTACTCTCCGACGGTGCACATGTGGGTGTGTTGTGTAGGTTGAGATTTGTGCGTATCCCCACCAGAATGGCAGGCTCAGTGGATGCTCGACAGGCACGAACGACGGCTGCTTCTTCAAGCGAGGCTTGTGGACAAGGACAGCTGTGCATCAGCTGTCAGCATGTGCGTGTCCGTCCCTGGCCATCCATCGTCATTATTTATAGTCTACAGAGATAATGACGGCCTGTGTGTTCATCGGCAGGAGGGCAGCGGGGGCATCTTCTTTCGGGCTGGGCGTGTTTCATCTCATTAGGGCGTCTTACATCCTGCGACC